TCTGAAGTTGGTTGCAGTTTTTTATCTCACCCTGTATGTTTGCACCCGTTTACCTTCGAATTTCTACCATCTCGTAAATCCTCAAAAAATTATGTATATGTTTTATCTCAGAGAGATGTTCGAGTCTTCTAATAAAGTGATGTCATCTAACTTTTCATCTCTACAGTGACAAATATCTTCCACAAAGGAATCTGCAATGTTTTATTTTGTTTTGTGGTTTTTCATACAAGATTTACATACTGTTGCATATTTTGTTTTTTGCTGTGCATATGCCACCGATCATCACAATTGACTGGCTGACTGGCAGCAGAGAGTGGGTGCTCTGTCGCGTCTTTACTGGCGTCTGATTCAAATATCCATTGGAGTAATTATGGCAATGTTGTCGCATTTGATTTTAAGCTCGCGCTCTCTGCGGTTAGGGGCTCTTGGCGGTTGGTGTTGTGAATATCAACACATCATGTACATACATACTTTTAGACATTTGTATGTCTGTACCAATGTGCGCAACATTGCCCATTCGCCGGCGGAGTGCACTTGGATGTAAGTCCAAAGTCTATTTCTTTAGCTACTTTAAATAGGCATTTGTTCGTTATACGCCTAAACAAATAGCCGGTATTTATTTCTGTATGGTTGTAGTTGTTGTTGTTGTTGTCATTGGATTTACTATTTTTTATTTACATTTTATTTTGTTTTGAAAAATTTACATATATAAACTCAAATGTGTTTGAACTCTTAGCACATGCATGTGAGCAGCAAAAACGAAGCATGTGCCTCTCATCTATCTAATGAATTAAATAGTAAGCTTGGAACGAGACCACATTTGTTGTTTTTGTTGTAATTATCAAAAGAAGAAATAAATAAAGCGAATTGAACAGAATCGAATAGATAATTTCAAAGTGATGGCGTCTTAAATAAACAATGCTTCAGGAATGGGATGTTTTGAATTTGTCGCAGCAAAACTAAAAAAGAAGAAAAGATTTAAGTGGTTATTTTAGAAATTACTATTTAATTGATTAATATTGTGATACTAAAGGGTGATTTTTTACCTATTATCTTTTTGGCAGTACTGGTTTCGTGTTTTCTTTCACTATCTTCAGTCTGGTCTATAATTTATATTAATTTCAGAACGGCTGAAGCTAAAATGTTGACATTTTGAGTGAAAGTCGCTTTTGGTCCAAAGGGGTCAGATAAGACTGGGTTTTTGGAAATTCGTACTAGAACGGTACGAATAGTATTAAGCGGTACTTATTATGGTACCTTTTGTATTTGAGGAAGACTCTTAAATTTGGAATGAGGGTCATTAATGGCATGTATGATAGATGTACTAGTGTTTGTTTTGTTTTGGAAATTTACTACACGACACTATAAGTGTACGAAAAGTTCTAAGATGTACTACATTTGGTACCATTTCGTATCATCCAAACGGTTAGAGCTAAAAACTTGAAATTTGGAATGGGGATCAAGGTTGAGGAGTAGAGTGGATTTAAGGAGTTAGTTTTGGAAGTGTGTACTCATGTATACGAAAAGTACTAAACGGTACTAAATTGAGTACAATTTGTATTTTTAGAACAGTTGGAGCTGGTAGAGTTGGAATCCTGAAATTTGAAAATAAGATTTATATTGGACTGTATTTATGAAAATTGCACTTATGTGTTCTAAATGGTACTAAATTTGGTACAATTTGGATTTGAATGAACCAATAGAGCTGGTATCTTGAAAATTGGAAAAAAGATTACTGTCGGAGTGTAGGATTGGTATATGTGGGCAGTTTTGGAAATTTGTACTTATATGTACTAAATTTGGTACAATATGTATTTAGGCGGACCAATAAGGATGGACTTCTAAACTTTGGAATTGGGATTATTGTGGGAGTGTTGGATTGGGGTATTTAGGAAGCTTTTGAAATTCGTACTTATGTGTACTAAGTGGTACTAAATTTGGTACAATTGAGTTGAACTCCTGAAATTTGGGAATAAGATTTCTATTGGATTGTATGGTGCAGGTAGTTATGGAAATTTGTAAGTATTTGTACTAAATGGTACAAAATTTGGTACAAATTGGAATTGTGGTGAAAGGATAGACCTTGAATTCTGAAATTGGAAATGAGATTTCTATGGGGCTGTATGATTGAGGTATTGTGGTAGTTTTGGAATTTTGGAATTTTGGGTTGTAGGATTGGGGTATGTAGGAAGTATTAGAAATACGTACTTATGTGTGCTAAATTTCGTACAATTGGGATATGTGTGAACTGATAGAATTCTGCATTTTTATATAGAATCCATGTTGGTATAAAGTTTTGAGAAAAGCAGGTGAACTTGGGAATGCGTACTCGAAAAGTACTAAATTGTACTAAATTTGTCGTTGAATGAATGGATTGAGCTTGAATCCTAAAATTTCATATTGAGGTCACTGTTGGTTTATAGGATTTAGATATAGTGGTGGTTAATTTTTATTATGAAAAAGCGTTGAAATGGTTTTGGCCACAACAAATGTGGAACTGTTTGGGACTATGTATAACCATTTTGCAAGGGATTAACTAATATGCTCCTCGATAAATTTCAAAAGATTTTGAGAGTTTTTGGTGCAAGAAGTAAACATTTTTCTATTACTCTTTTCAATATTGAGATGGTGCAGCTGAAAAGTTAGTACCATGTGAAATATTTTGTTTGGAAATTTTGTCCAAAAAATAACCAAAAAATTGTGCATTTTGGTGGCTAAATGCGTTCTCTGTCAAGAATTGGAGTGAAGATCAGCCAGAAGCATTGTAAAAGCTACCAATACATTCAGAAAAAATCACAGTTTGGTGCAATTTATGGGCTGGCGACGTCGTTGGACCGTACTTCTTCAAATCAGAATATTTTCCTTCTTTAAATTCAAGAAGATCATCACCAAACCGCATTCCCATCCCTGGCCGAAACGTGACTCTTGATTTTGAATACACCCAGTGAGCCAGCATGTGAGTGAATGCGTGTATTCCAACATCAAGTGATATGGGCGGATTTAATATGTTTTTTCCTATTATTTTTATTTTTTTTTTACAATTTGTTTTCGTTTTTTTTTTTTTTTTGCAAGCTATTCTTGCTGCATAGCAGTTTTCAATTTGTTATCTCATTCTCGCCGAGATTTTCATAAAATTTATGCATAGTTTATTAAATTATAACGATCGCTGCCCTGGTTGTTGTTTGCTATTATTGCTGCTGCCACTATTTCAAGTTGTTATTGTGGTTATTTTTAGTCCGGCAGTGTGCGTTGTAGGCTATGTAAATTAATCTCTAATAAACAACATTTTGTGCGGCGCATACACATTGTTTTGGAATTCTAGTGAATGTTGTTTTTTATATAACTATAACGCTGATAATAGAGAGGAGGTATTATTAGCTTATTCTTTTGTTTGTAAATAATCACTTAGAGGTTGACAATTTTTATATGTATATCGACTTCTAAAAAAAAAATATGAAGGACATGGCTTATTTGGGTAGAACAATTTCCTAACTCCTCTCTGGCAAGCGGGAGTATAGGGTGAAATGAAAAAAACTGCAACCAACTTCGGGCTGCTGTCAATTCTAAGCCACTCGTCCGACAGCTGTTAAAATTGTTCCAGTGACAGCTCATTATATTGTTTACAAGCGTACAAAAGCATTTTGATGAGAATTTTTCAGAAAAAAAGTTATTCGAGATGAAATTCAAGCGTGATAGTGTGCTTTCTTTATATTTGGTTGGAAAACCAGAAGTGGCTATCGTTAGAGCACTCCAGCATTTAAATGTGAATACATAAATTCAATAAAATTTAAAAAAAAAATGTTGCAGTTTTTTTTATTTCACCCTGTATATGGGAGCTATATCCAAATCTTAGCCGATCTTGATAAAATTTGGCAAAGGTATTTCCTAGCTTTATAAGATATCTGGTACCAAATATCATTGTCGTGGAGAGCATATTACGAATAAAGGCCAAACGGATGAAACATATATATGTGAGCTAAAGCTATATCTGAACCTATTTTGAAAAAATGTGATGTCCTTGCTTCTAGACCGAATTCGGTGGGATGTGTTAAAATTTAGGTAATTTGGACTGTTATTGGCCATTTGGTGCACAATTAACCCGAAATCGGTTGTGGATATATGTATATGGGAGCTATATATAAATTGGAACCGATTCTCACCAAATTAAATAGGCTTCATCCTTGGGCCAAACAAATATTGTTTGGAAATTTTATCCGAATCCAATTATAAATGCGACCTGCATTCTGTTCACAAAATTACATGGACAGACGGACGAACTGACATGCATAAATCGATTCAGAAAATGATTCTCTACGAAGATCCTCAAAAGTAACTATGGGTCTACCTCGCTTCCTTTTTCGTGTTACAAACAAAAAACAAACCCTTACAACTATGTGGTGTAGGCTATAAAAAGCAATGATTACGGCTAGGCTGGCCTTTGAAAAAAGCTTAAAAATCCAGAATAAAAGCTCACTGCCATTCAAAAAAATTGTTTTTCAAAAATTAGTTATTTTGGCTCTGCTGGATTTTTTATTAAACCACAGTTATAGTTTTTTTTTTCTGTTTCTTAAGATCTTATCAATCCAAGAGTTCCTCTGATCTTCTAAAAATAGTCTTAAATTCCACCATATTATAAATCCTCGTTGCATTTATTGTTGCAGAAACGACGCACAACTTGTGATGCAGTAGAGGTTGCTATTGTTTAAACCGCGGTGGAGTTTCATACTTTCAAGACGACATGGACGAATTGACTTTTTAGAATTGTTTTAGTGAGTAGTTCTTTTTTTTTTTTTTGTCAGCTACATTTGTGATACATTTGAACATCTTCCTGATTTAGATTCCAGCATTTCATTTACATTCCATGTAATATATCTTAAGTTCATCCAACATAGTGTAGGGTATTAATATGTTGCTCATTTAAAATCACCACAGTTTTTATAGTGATTCTTTTTATTTGTTGTCAATAAAATATAACGCATCTATTTTTAATGTCATTCCAGGTTTGCAAATCTACCAGCGGATAATCTAACGCCACAACACTTGTCGCCGCCACCAGAGAAATATTGGAGCATGATGGCCTACAATAATGCCAAGTTATGTAATGTATTGTTTGCTGCCAAGCTGGCAAAGGTGAGTTAGGGGAGAAGGTATTCAAAAATTGTATCTGCATTTATCTGTTATATAATTTTTATGATGACTTTGAATTTCATGCAGGTTCAATTCGTATAAATGCAAAAATGAATATCAATTCAAAATTCGTTGCAGCCAAGCAAATAGATTTATATTTAAAAATTTTTGACAGAGCAATATTGGTCTTCTTTGTACCCAAAATGGTAAATTACAACAAATTCGGTGGGAAAAATTAGCCTGAAACCTAAAAAAATCAATAATCCATAATATCCACCATATTGGGACTAAGGGAACAGTGCCCTATTTTGAAATTTCCATGGTAATATTATATTCACTAAAAACTCGAATTTTAAATTGATCAATATACGTCACCCTGTTCCTCTGTGCTCAGTATTGAACACCTAGAATAGCAAACAGGGTAGTATAATGAGAAGAAAGCACCAGAAGTGGGAAAATACAAACATGGAGGCCTTTTTATTGAAAAAATATAGTCAAAACCTTCAAAATACCTAAAATTAGCGGGTGTGATTACAAAAAAACTTTACCTAAACAAGGCAAACATTACAAATTTCTGTAAGCGAATTAAGTATCCATTAAGAAACCAAAATACAAAACTATAGGTAATTCTGTTGAAAATTGGTGAGATGAAAAAACTGCAACCAACTTCAGACTGCTGTCATTTCTAAGCCACTCGTCCGACAGCTGTTAAAATTACCCAGTGACAGCTCATTATATTATTTACAAGCGTACAAAAGCATTCTGGTAAGAATTTTCCAAAAAAAAAGTGGTTCGAGATGGAATTCAAGCGTGATAGTGTGATTTCTTTATATTTGCTGGAAAATCACAAGTGGCTATCGTCAGAGCACTTCAGCATTTAAATGTGAATAAATCTTTTGTGTCTCGTACCATCGCTCGTTACTGTGATACTGGTAGCGTAGCCCGATGTCAAGAAAGTGGACGGAAGAAAACAGCAACATCAGCAGAATTGGTTCGAAAAGTAAAGAAGCGACTTGATCGAAACCCGCGTCGCAGTGGCCGAAAAATGGCTCGAAAGCTGAACATATCGCAATATTCCATTCGGAAAATATTGAAAAATGAGCTCGGGGTAAAGCCATTGAAATTCCAAAAAGTGCAAGAACTTACACCGCAAAAGAAAGAAAATAGACTCAAAAGAGCTAAAGAGTTGCTTCGCTTGGACGAAAGTGGTAAACTGCCGAATTCGGTTTTCTCCGATGAGAAAATATTCGTTGTCCAGCAGTTTGTAAACAAACAAAATAATCGTGTTTACTTGCCAAAGAGGTCAGCTAAAAATGTGCACCTTCGGTTTACCACCAGAACTCAAGCGCCGGCCATGGTGATAGTGTGGGCCGCCATAACAGCCGATGTTCACTCTCCGCTCGTATTAATCGACCGTTATAAAATTATCGCGAAAATATTCTGGAGGGTGTATTAAAGCCTTGGGCACTCAAACATTTTGGCCGCAGCCCTTGGACATCCCAACAGGGCTCAGCACCATCGCACTCAACACGCGTTCCTCGCTTCATTTCCTCGCTTATCCGGGTACTAATCCGTTGGACTATTGTGTCTGGAGTATTTTGGAAAGCAAGGTTGGCACTAAAAAATACCAAAATGTCGATCACCTCATGCAAGTGCTTCGCCGGGAATGTTCCAAAATACCGCAGAGCAACATTCGGGTAGCGTGTGACGTTTCATTGGCCGTTTGAAGGTCATAATTCGTGCTAAAGGTGACCAATTCGAACAAATCTAAACTTATTCTAAAATTTGATGCCATTTTCGAATTTTTTTGCATTCATTCAATAACATTTAAAAAATGTAAAAATTATGGCATTCGACTTTGTTGCAGTTTTGTTTATCTCACCCTATATCGTATAGCACTTCAAAATCGGTACACGGGCGTTATATTTAAACATGGACATATACGACTATTGACCAATGAAAGTACCCATTCAGAACATTATATACCGAATTGCTTAGAGATTAAAGAATATTTCAAACGCCTAACCAAAATCGTTTTGAGAATGTCATCATCCACTGTTTACTGTACCACACAAATATCCAATCTCAAAACCGGCTTAATATCGTGTTGACTCACGTGCACAGTCAAACGCCTAATAAACATAAAATTAAAATAAATCTATGACATACTTCCTCACACCCATCGTCCGATCGGAATCGTTGCGACATTTGCCAAAGGATAGAGTATCAAGACTTGTTGTGCAAGACACGAGTAGACAGCAACCAAAAAATAAAAGAAATTCTGACAAATAAATATGATACAAAAAAATATAATACATATTCGATTTATTTGTTTGTTTTTCATCTTTTTTTTTTTGTCTGAACTTGTTCTTTCTTGTACACGCAGCTACCACATGGCATCTTAAAGCTGCATCCATCCAATCAATAAACCAGTATTGGATTAGTCCACCAACAGAACCCGGTTTGATAAGAATAACACAAAGAAGAAGAAATCATTTCTACATTGTGCCAATGCAGCAGGACATTCTGCTTCATGTTCAAAACGTAAATGCGTATATATGTATGAACGAAACTCAGTACGCAAGAGGAGCGGGTGAAATTCTTCACCGGGTGATCATGTGTTGGCAAGATGATTGGAAGAGTATATGTATTTTCCTTTAATTTAATAAAAAGGGCTCGTTAGGTATCTGCGAAAGTTACTTTAATTTACAGAATATATTCATGACCCCAGTAGGTGGTCATCGAGGACGTGTAACAAAATGACAGTAGAAATTTAAAATTTACAACAACTAAAGATTATTATTTGTAAAAAAGCTGTAAGTTCGGCCGGACCGAATTTTGAATACCCTCTACCATTTGAAACGAAATTGGACATTTTCAAAAAAATAAAATCCGTTAAAAATTCTGTTTAAATCTTAAAAATACCAAATGTAGGAATGTATTGAAGTCTATGCGATGACGTGGACCTGCATAGGAATTTTTTCAGAAGCCATGACAATATTTAAATGCTAAACTTGAAAAAACAAAATTTGATAAATAATGTAGCTAAAATTATCGAACTACCGAATATAGGGAGCTACCATTATATGGTGGCTATACCAAAACGTGGACTTGCACAGACAATTTCTATCACAGGCTGCAGTATGCATTACAAACTTCAAACACGAAATTTTAAACAATTCCGTTGAATAATGTCGGTAGGTACCGTTATATGGGGACTATACGAAGACCTGGACCTACATGACCCATTTTCAATACCAAATGTCCAAATACCAAATGTGAAACTTTTTTTGCAGCTGACCTTCGTTCAGGGCTTGAGAATTTCTCCTCTGAGTATGTCCAACTCCGGTAACACGAACCAACATTTTTCTAAATTTGATACTTTTTTAGTGGACGGCATTCGGCCTCCTGTGTATATTTTAAGCCATATCATATTTGGTACAGAGGAATAAATGCCTCTGTCTAGTTTGGTGGAAATTGCTTCAGAGTTGGATATACCACCCCTCTGATTCCTAATCATGTCTGCTCTAAAGCCATAATACGCATTCAAAACACATAATACCCTGATCACAGTGTGGTGTAGGGTATAAAAAGGTTCATAGTTGTTAGGATCTACTTCACATAAATTTCCAATATAAACCATTATTTGTTACGGGTATTTCTACTAAATATGAATAATTTCACTTTATGCCACTTTTTAAGGATGAAAAAAATTAACCATCTTGTTACTACGTTTTTTGAAAATAACGATAAATTTTTCCCTACTCTCGTGTTGTGTATTGTATAGGGTATCATGTGGACCACTTTGTCAAGCGTTGATTGGTACTAATGTAGGATAACTGATGACCATCTTCACAGGCTACAGATTACACCGTAATGCATTTCTTTAATTTTTAAATTTAAATTGATACTGAAAATTTCGTCTTTAATAACCCAATTTAATCATTTAACTGTAACCAACACATGACATATTCCCTGGATCCATAATAACCAAACTATCATCTTTTTCTTTCCAGCTTTGGAAGCACCGTGGCATTTCTGTGTTCTCTGTCCACCCGGGCAATATGGTGTCAACGAGTATACAAAGGAATTGGTGGTTCTACCGTTTACTGTTTGCTTTAGTGAGGCCATTCACTAAATCGCTGGTAAGAATCAAAACACCTTTGGAATCAGCGATATATTCTTATTGTTGTTGTTGTTTCTTAATTAATATCAATTTAAATATTAAAAAAGAATATTTGTGGAAACAACAACAAAGACATAAGAACGCCAGAAGTTTATTTACACCACACACACCATTCCGAAGGTTACGGGTTATTGTAATTTGTTTTCATTCCTTTGTTTTTTTTTTCTTTTCTTTTTTATGCAGCAACAGGCGGCAGCCACAAGTATCTATTGTGCCACTGCCAATGAACTGACTGGCCTTACAGGGCTTTACTTCAACAATTGTTATTTCTGTGAGCCAAGCAAATTGTCGCAAAATGAGAATTTGCAAAATCAACTGTGGGCGATAAGTGAGGAAATGGTGACACGGCTCAAGGAACAAGGCAGCCAACAGCTGTTATATTAAGGACAAAAATGATGGACCCCTTTGTTTTTCTATTAAATTAGTGATGATTTTTTAACCAATAAATAAAGTAAAAAATTAAAGTGATTATGTTTTTAAATAGTTTTTTTATTTTTAAAATATTTTTTTTTGGTTTTTTATTTTCTTTTCATTTCGAGTTATTACATTTAATACAGCAGTCTATTTATGATAGTTGTATGAAAACACAACTTAACAATGCATAATAAGAAAAGAACAAGTAAGTAACCCTAAAGCAAGGCTATTATTTGATTTGTTTCCCTTTTTTCAATTTGTTTTGCGATTTTCTGTCTGTATCAGGTCATTGAGAAGCCTTGCAACTTACATGCTAGACAATTTTCTTAATATTATACAAAAAAACAAAAAAAAAAACTAAAGTGCCTCTCTATGTTATCGTATGTATGTATATCTTACTAACAACTATAAGTGTTATGATAATTTAGGATTTGGGATGATGTATTTTGGGGGGTATGTGTATGTGGTTGGAATACTTATATTAATGATATGGTGACTAGAAATCAGATACACGCCCCTTGCGTTCCCAATCGCCGTAACGTGTGGGTTCTGGACCAGCAGGACCGCCAATTTCACCGGTGTGTGGGTTAACATTGTTGGGCCATGGTCTCAAGGGTTCAACTTCTTGGAAGGGATGACGTGAGAATTCATCCAATTTACCCAATGGTGTTTTGGCTCTCAATTTCTTTTGGAATTCCACAAAGCGGGCACTTTTAGGTTTCAGGGTTCCTTTAAAGGTCTCTCCTTCTTGCAGGCGAGCCGAAGAGGTGGAGAAGCAGGCCACTGGAATAAAAGAAAATGGATATAAATTAAAATCATGTTTTTTAGGAGATTGAAAAAAATATGGCAATTTTGGAATGGAAAAAACTAAAAAAGTACAACCACCACAAATTAACAAAAAATCTTAGGATTGTTCTTCTTTGCCGATTAGATGAAACTATTTTGAAAAGTTTTCTACAATCCAATTGGATTCTTGTTGGTAAAACCAAACTTCAAAACAATTGGATATATAAATAACACAGATTTTAATCATCTATTCTATTTATTTGGATCAAGGTTTGAAATTTCGGAAAATCTATTTAAAGTCGCATTTATAACCCCTTGAAAATCATATTTCTTATGAAGTCTTCGAAAGAAATACCCAATTTAAAATTTCTGAAACGACGATTTAAAAAACGAGAATGTTTTTTGGAAAAATGGTTTTAGTTGGACCAATTGTGAGTTCATGATCTTCTCTTACTTTTTGGAAACAGATTAAAAATTGAGCTTGAAAAATATTTTCCAATAAAATAATAGCTCCCATTGGGGGATAAATGCAGTCAACACACACTGTGCCATCCAGACTTAAAACCCATAACTAACACGCAATTGTGTCCAAATTGTTCTCCAAATCACGTTTGTCATTTATGTTTCTAACACGCACTTCTTCTGGCCAATGACCCATGCCTTGTGGTGGCGACCAGATTCCAATGGATTTTCATCATCAAATGTTGTTCAATGTTTACTTTTGTGGCCAACATGCGATACACTCCCTTACCTTGTTTGGTGACTTGTGGCATCAAGCGGCTGGTTTGTTTCACAATTTGACTCATTTTGTATTGATTTTTTTTTTGTTATCTGGAACTTCACGAAAAAGACTCGACTACTGTTTCTTTTTTTCGAACAGAATTGCTGATTTTCTTATTGAAATCTTCTAACTCCGTATGATGTTTTGAATGTTACACAATGTGAACGAATTGTTTTTCTCGGTTTTATTTTGTGCTTTTGCTTTATTGCCGTGTGGCACGTTGATCTGACGTTTGTAGTTATACAATTGACAACTTTGGAATGAATGCTTGCCATTTCGTGCCAATCAGCCGGTTTTATACCGACAACTGACATATCCCTCTCATTCGCACATATTCTCAGCGTACTCACTCTCTCTACGGCAGAGGCAGCGCAGTCGCCCGAACAATGTCCACAATACAATCCACGTACACAAAGGCAGAGCACCGCTGTTGACAAACAAACAAACACACATTTTTTGTTTACATTTTTTACATATAAATATATATAAACATCCATACATACATATTAAATTGGCTTATCTCAAAATGTTGCTTCTCTCTGCCAGCCGTTTTTGTTTATATACAAGACAACAACAAATCCAAACTCTCGTGACTTTGCAGCAAACGTTGGAGGGAGAATACGAAAAAAACATGTAACGGACGCGTACATGGGTACTCGTTTCGCAGTTATATGGATGTACGTCGTTTTATGCACGTATGCCGGCCACGACCGCTCTTGTAGCTAGTATACCCCAATTACGTTTAAACATTCATCAATTTCTGAGTCTCGTGAATATGTCTCGGCACTCACGTTCTCCACTTTAGCTGTAGTTTAGTCATCATCGACACCAGCAAACATCAAAAGCAACAACAACAGCATGTCTTATTGAATGTAGTTCATTTTGCTTCGTTGGGAGGAGAAAAGAGGCCACAATAGCAACAACAATATTCGACCAGCTGTTTTTTGTTGACGTTTTTTTTCGTATTGTTGTCAGATGATACAAACCACCCAGAGTGTAAAATCGTTCATATTATGATAACAAGAAGATGTGCATCTAGAAAATTGTAACGCATGATGGATTGCAGTATCTCCTCTACCTGAAAGTAGTGTAATATAATGCTTACGCACATCTGGGAGATTCCAAAAATTAAAAGGGAATTAGGAAATTTATAAAGTTCGTTAGCAACTATTGTGGAAAAACCAAAGGAATGTAAGAAAAATAATGGAAATAAAATGTGTTACCTACCTCTACAATGTAAATGAATGAATAAGTTCTAATAAGAAATAAGTATTAAAAACGGCCGAGATTTCGTGGACTTTCGTAACGCTCATTGTTGGCAGTTATAGCATCTGATTTAAAAAAAAGTTATAATCAAAAAAACATAGAGATTAAGTAGGCACAACCAAAAAACTTAGAAATATAAACCCCTTTGGTCTCGCTCCTAAACATTCATTTTTTCGTGATAGCAATGTTTAAAATTAATGAGTTATTGGTAATGAGTTATTGGGTAACCAGAAATTGGAAGTGGCTTCATTGCATTTAAAAAATTAAAAGAACACAACAGTTTGTATAGTGTCTAGGATGGATTGGTATTGAATATGAGATTGGGCATGGCTCAATAAGAAAGGTTGCTCAACTTCAAAGAAACTAGAAAAATGCAACCCTGTGCTGGAGTCTTATAGTGTCACATAGTCTTTTAAATATGCAACAGTAGGCTTTGCATATTTAAAAGACTATTTGAATACGAATGGAAGTTCGGGGCATGGTACAATGAAGAGAAGGTAGGTCAATTTTGAAAAAATTGCAAGTATAGAGGTCTACCTGTTTGGCTTGTAATGTCAGAAATAGTATCAAAACAATAACAAAATCAAACAACTTGTTGCATTTATTTTGAATAAATAATTGAAAACCGCGAAAACTGAATGAAAGGTCAACACTTCTTTTCAAAACCAGGTTCTATACATCTCTAAAGGATTATTTCGCTACAAAAACTCTAGATTTTGTCGATGCATACGATGAAATAAACATTTTGAAAACATCCGAATTTGAATGTTTTCTGAACAATTTTTTTGTTATTGAAAAGAAAACACATACATAAACAAATAAAGATGACATATTAAGCCAAGAAAATAAAAAAAATTGAAACCATATGGTATCGTAGCCCTACCTTGATATCATTGTACCATGGTTCGGGGTTGTTCCTCGAGATAGAATATAAAATAGTAGAACAATACAGATTTATCACAAAATTTTACAATTTGTTTACCATTTACGTTGAAAATTTTGCATTTATTTTGCAACCAAATTATTGTATTTTTTATTCAAAACAATATACACATATTGTGTATATTTTTTGACATAATAAGAAAAAAATTGTATTTGGGCGGGTAGCTTTGTTCTACCGTCTTTAATTGTGCCATGATATAGAGTAAGTGTACCTAAGTTCGGCATGTCCCAGTAGTCGGCACATTTTATTTTTAAGCTCAAATAAATTAAACAATTTTAACTAAATGTAAACAGAAATATTTGCTTGCTTCGAATATAATGTCACCTATCTTTGTGTACAATTTCGCCGAGAAAAGAAGATTTATTCTAATAACAAGTAAAAATGCAGTAAGTTCGGCCTGGCCGAACTTTGATATTTTCAAAAAAAAAAAAAAATCATTAAAAATTCTGTTAAAATCTCATAAATATATATAGGATATCCTGGGTCGATACAGATAATTCTCTTCCAGCGGGTCAAGTAGTCACAAGGAACTCCTTCTGTAGAATTTCAGACAATTCAAAATATCGGGAGGTACCGTTATATGGGGGCTAAACGATATCGTGGACCTATATAGACAATTATTTTTCATGTTGAAAAGTTCTCACAAGTATCTTGTGTGGAATTTCAGACAATACCGCTGAAAAATGTGGCAAAATCTCAAAATATCGAATATCGGGAGGTACCGTTATATGGGGGCTATACGATATCCTAGTCCATTTTCGAAATTGACCTGCCTGCAGACAAAAGACAGAACTGTGCAAAATTTTTGCTTCGTTTTTTTTTTGCTTAATTCGTTTTGGCGTGATTACAACAGACGGACGGACAGGGCTAAATCGTCTTAGAATTCTACACTGATCAAGAATATATATACTTTGTTGGGTCTAAAATTATTATTTCGATGAGTTCGAAATGTCGAACTTAATATACCCTCCATACTATGTATGGTGGAGGGTATAGAAATTAAATTTTTGTCTGTGAAGGTCCTCAGCATGAACGGTACAGTCCATATTCTTAAAGAAAGTACAATAAAGACGTGGAATCAGTTTAACTAAACAAAAATATAATATTTTAATAAATTATGTTTTTATTATTATTATTTATCCTTACAAAAAATCGGTATGCCGACCGTTGGAACATGTCATACCGGCAATTGGTGCCGACTACTAACTAAAAGCATTATTTTAATAAAACTCCATATTCTTTGCAAAAAAAAACTATACAAAATTTCAAATCTGAATAAATTAACTTTGTAATAATTGAAAAGTTCCACTCAGAATGGTGAACCATTTAAAACGCGAAAACCTAAAAGTGACGACAATTGGTACACTTACCCTGTCCATGGCCTCCTGAATTTCGGTATTTTGATGATTTTTGCCACATTTTTCCACGGAATTGTTCTAAATTAGTAGCGTTAGTAGCGTGTTCTTCTTCTGGCAGCAGAATATAAGACAGCATCCATACAAAGGTACCTCCAAATATCCGCATTTTTCCACAGATTTGTCTAAAATGTGGTATTTGTAGTTCGTAATGGGTTAAAGATCCGGTGGTAGAACATTGTGTGTGTGTAATTTGTAGCTCATAATGCTTTTTACAAGCACTATAACCTTAATAAGAATCTTAATCAGACGTAATTTTTTATGGAAGGCATATTATTTAATTAGGTCCGATTTAGAAAAGAGTTAATATTCCCACTCGAAACACCTACTTACAGTATCTTTGGCTTGAAAATTTAATGAAAAATATAATTGAGGTAATATAGCAAAAATAGAAAACCGGTTGAAATTTATATAAATTTGGGAGTTAAAGCTATACTAAAGCTATATGAACCAAACTGTGACAAACTTATTGCGAAAATTCATCATTCACATTAAATCAGGCGAAGTTATAAAATTCTTATTTGGGGACAAATCTAGTCCAAATTTTTGTACTCGATATCGAATCGATTGAAATTAATTTCTGTAAGAGCATTTTCGATTGATATAATTTAAAATTTTATAGAAAATACCATATTCGGTAAATAGTAATTAAATCAATTCGAAACTTGTAATTAAATCATTTCAGGCCATATTTATACCGTACACATGTCTCAAAAAGAAACAAGTAAAAAAGCAGTTCGGCCGGGCCAAAATTTGAATACCCTCCACCATTTGGAACCAATTAGAAAATTTTCAAAAAACAAAATCCATTAAAAATTCTATTAAAATCTTTAAAATATCTAATATCGGAAGGTGCTTTATGGGGGGATATCCGATATTGTGGACCTATATAGACAATTACCTTTCAGGGGTTAAAGAGCTCACAAAGAACTCCTTGTGTGGATTTTCAGACAATACCATAGGAAAATATGACTAAAATCATCAAAACACCGAATATCGGGGGTACCGTTATATGGGGGACATACGATATCGTGGACCTATATAGATAATTCTCTTCCGAGGTATAAATAACCGAAAAGGTACTCCTTGTGTGGATTTTCAGACAACTCCGTTGAAAAATGTGGGTAAAATCATCAAAATTCCGAATATCGGAGGTACCGTTGTATGGGGGCTATACGATATCGTGGACCTATATAGATAATACTCTTCCAAGGGATAAAGTACCTACAAGGAACTCCTTGTGTGGATTATCAGACAATTCCGTTGAAAAATGTGGCTAAAATCGGAGGGCATCGTTATATGGGGGCTATACGATATCGTGGACCGATATAGCCTATCTTCGAACTTGAACTGCCTGCAGACAAAAGAGGGATCTGTCCTATCTTAATTCGTTTAGACTGTAGCGTGATTACAACAGGCGGACAGACGGGATGACATGGCTAATTCGTCTTAGAATTTTACCGTGATCAAGAATATATATACTTTGTTGGGGCTAAAATGATTATTTCGATGAGTTACAAACGGAATGACGAACTTAATATACCCTCCATACTATGTATGGTGGAGGGTATTAAATATGTATTTAGTAGGTAGCTTTGTTCTACCATCTGTTATTATGCCATGCCCTACACCACATAGTGGCATGGAGAAGGAAGCGAAA